TTGATTTACTACTTCTACTATCCGCACTATAATTCAAATACAAAACTTACCGGATGATATATGCAGCACCCATCATAACATCCACTAATACTGTTTAATTTATTATAAGCCTTTAATACTTTTTAATGCGCATGTTCGATCATTCGCGCGTGTTTTATGACTACGAATTGATGACGCCAACCTTCCAAGCTGTTTTTTTTTTGTGCAAATCATTCAACACTTTAAAAAAGTAAGTGTCAATCAGTGAGTCGTTTAGAAGTTTGAATGAGACCTAAATAAGTCAAGATCTAATAAAAAAAATATTTCTACATTTTCAGATACACCTGTTAGACGAACGAACTCCAAATAAAAATTATTATTCCCTATCCTATTACTTACTTTCCTTCGTCTTTTCCATCCCATTAATCTTATGCTTTTATTTTGAGTTTCATATTCTCAATATGATTACATATAATAAGATGCGAAAGTATATAAGTTATACTTATATTACGTTTCAGCTATACAATAATTATTTTCATTTGCAAATAAAAGCAATTGTAAATAAATAACTCTGTAAATAGAATTTCATATCATATTTCTGAGAAAAATTTTGTTTTTTACATATTAAATTACTTTTCTCCGTTTGCTGAACTTTTGTAAAATATTCAATAAAAATTATAATGTATAAATTCATTATTTAATTTACTTTTTAAAAAGCCTCTATATACTCTATAATAATAAGCCTCTATTATATATATATATATATATATATATAAAGGACATAAAAGATAAATATTTTATCCAACAAAATGATTACATTATTTTAATTATAAATATGAAACGAAACTACGTATTAACAAAATAATATACGTATAATATTGAAATTTATTGTAATATTTATATAAGCATATGAATGGAAATAATTGTCTTTAATAAAATTATACATCTATTTTTTAAATATATTATGTCGATAGAAATAGACATAATGTATGTTTTAAAATATTTTTAAAAAGTTGAAACTGAACTGATATTATAAGGAATCTTATTTAAAAATAAATAAGTTTCTTTATGTAGTTGACAATGGAAAACGAGACCTGCTTATGCAACTAAATTGTCAAATTGTAAATTTGAAAGATTAAACAAACTTTAATAAATATGTACGTTTAATTATAGAGATTAAATTCAGAAATGTAATGTTTAGTATTAATTTTAATAATTCAGTTTTCATTAGAGATTCGTTAGAAATCACAATTTTTGTTTTGACAAAAAACAAAATAATAATTTTAGTAACTATTTGTTGTGAAATATTATTTCAAAATAGTTTGGTCGAACTTTGTCAATTTTTTTATATATCATATTTTTGTGTAAGAAGTAATTCAAATTTAATAAGAAAAATTGAAATTGATAAAAATTATTAAAATGAGTCCGCGTTCTAATATAATTCACAACTACTTATAGATTGAATAAAACAAATAAAATCATAAATTTAAAAAAAAAAGAATTAAAAAGTACATCAGCATTTATTTTCTATTATTCTATGTACTTTGACTACGTAAAATAAAAAAGATACGCATTTAATAACAGTAATATTCCATAATGAAATGTTTCGTAAAAAAGTATAAGAAGACTCAAAAATAATAAGTAGAAGATTTGTACAAAGAAATGTATGACAATAAAATATCAGAATGAAAGACTTTGAAGAGCTTAGTAATAATAGTTTTGATGTTATAACTGTTATATAATTAACATATAATTTTTGTAATAGATATTTTGAAATACAATTATATTATTATATTATTATATTTTATTATAAATTACTTCCAAATAAACTATTCCAAACTATTATTTGTAAATCGTCTTTAATCGATAAAAATAAATATTCTTAAACACTTATATACTTTTTAAAAGAAATTCAGAAATACAGTGACAAAACATTTGTATAGACAAAACTTAAGTACATGCAAATTAATAAGAAAATCTTTGCAATACTACGACATTTAGCTGAATCAAAATTTCCACTTATTTAAATGATAGTTTACTTTTTATCATTAATAACCACTTAAATATATTTAAGAAAATGTATTTGAATTATACTAGTGAACATTTAATAGAAAAACAATAAATGAAAAAATGATAAGTTAAAGAGATGAAAAGAAACTTGCTTAATTTACAAAGGAATGAAATTCAGTGAAATTAAATGATAAGGATAAACGATGACATAAAGATAAAAGAAAACGTAGTCACTCCGAGTTAAAGTATATAAAACTGACATGTAACGTTTCTAGTAAAAGAGCAAAGCTTCACTATATGCAACAGTAATACTAGACGCATGTTTTTTATATAATAAAAGCAATTTCCATTTTCTATGTATAAAATGTAAGCGTTGAAAATAGAGGGCGGGGGAGGGAGTGAGAAAGAGAGGGAGTATGATATTGGCGTTGGCATCCGCATTTCAGATCAGAGAAAACGTTAAAATGAAACAGCGAATATTCATCACCTTTCATAAGTAAGGTAATGTCGATATTTCTTCATTACAAGCTTTAATCGCATTAAATTCAAAATTTAATGTTTTAAAATATATTTAAGTCAGAAAACATAACATGTAATTGTAAGTTAAAAAAAGTGATACCGAGTAACTGCAAAACATCTTAATTGTTAGAAAAAATTGTCTATATATATATATATATATATATATATATATATATATATATATAAGTAATCCCATAACTCTATAAACTTTTAAAGAGAAGAAGAAAAGTACGTAACTAATCGAAATGTAATATAAGTTTTTAAAAAATTATTATTTGAAATACTTTTGAATGTTCTTTTTATAACTGTTTTCAAATCTACATTTGGAATTAAAAAATTTAAGAAAAACATTGTGAAGTCGAAAAATAAAATGCCCTTTTTTGTTATTCTAATTTTAAAATTAGTATCATTATAAATATATTATATATCGTAATGTATTATCAAGTAAAGTAAACTAACGATTATATATACCCTAACTGTCAGCTTATATATCAAACAAGTATTATAGATCTATAAGATTTACAAGCTTCTTTGTTTGACTTCGTAAGATAAATCAATGATTTTTTTTTAACGCCAATCGTTGAATTTATCATCTACTTAATCCTTGTTAAATAATATCACCATTGATATATTGATAAAAAATTAATATAAATATGCATTAACACGAATATGCAAACATTCAATAAATATACATCTACAATTAAAAAGAAAATAAGAACTATTTTTACTGTAATAATTATAAATTGACTTTAACTCTATTACGTTTTTCTTTATTGGGATATATATTTTTAAAAAATAGCTGATGCTATTAATCTATAGAATTCAATAATTTGAAATTAGTTTACTGAAATTTTTGTTCAATTATAAACGAAATTTCAATAAGATTTGTAATAAATGCTTTCCTAAAATAAATTAATATTTTTTTATTTTTTGTATTTTGTGCGTTTAGCGAATTACCAAAAAATTCATATAATCCAAAAAGGTTTTAATTTATTTTAAAAGACAAAGAGTGTATTATTTAGTTGTTTCTATGAAATTTTTCATGTTTGTAATTTATTTGAAATTTTAAAGGAAATTAAAAGACTGTATTTGCTAAATATGAATTTTCAAATTCATCAATGCATTGGTGAAGTAGGTAAATCTAAATTGGTATCTTATAAAATATTCTGAAACTAAAGCAACAGAACTAATCTATTTATGCTACAGAGATACAATCTAAATATAAAATGAGAATTTACTTTTCTATGTCATAATCTCAAATAATACAACATAATTACTTTGATATTAAGTAGAAAGAGTGCACAGTAGGAGGAGACAGTAGAAAGAGTTGCAATTATTTACTTTATTACACTTTATTACTCATAATATTTATGTTTCTCCGCATGTATATTCTATACATGAACTGTGTAATTTTAATCTTAAATTCAAACTAATTTTCACCATACTTTAAATATATTTCATTACTATTGCTAAAGTATATTTTAAATATAATTCAATAATCTTTTATCGGAACGTCTACTATACAATATTTTAAAAATCAAGAACAAATTTTAATTTGAAGGATGATCTTTTCAAGAGTATTTAATATAAAAATTACAAACTCTGCATAAGGCTATTAAAATCTTGAAATGGATTTTTAGTCGGAAATTCAATTTAGATCTCATCAGACTAAAGTTTATTTTGCTAAATGAGAGTACTCGTTTTTTTATTGTACATTTATTTTATCGTTAATGTTAGAAAGTTTTAAGATTGTGATAGTTACAGTAAAGTTTGTAGTGATTATAAAATACAACACTGACATCGAAATGATTGATCATAGATTTTTTTGTCACTAACAATGAATTGCACAATACATTTTTTATATATAGATTTTGAAAAGAAATTTATAATGAAATATATATATATAACTGCATAGAGCTTCGAAGCTTGAGCAAAAATAATATTAATTATTATTTATAAAGGATTCTGTCATTAATTAAAAATAATATATGTTTTATCAGCGTTCAATGTTGAACTATAAAAACCATACTTTATATTAAGTTTTACGATATTTCGTTCAATCTTTATTATATACGATAAACTCCGATACTTTCACCCTTTACGCTTGATTTTTAACAAATGCCCAGAACTACTTAGAAATTGTATGTTTATTTATAAACAACAAGTTTATTAAAAAATAGATATATTATGTTTAAAATAGCCCCCCCCCCCAATTGGCATTTAGTAAATTAATAATGTATGTAGACGAAAATTAAGAAAATCCTAATTACTTAACCACTTCTACTTACTATCGAATGATAAATTATTAGTTACCTATCACTATAAAAAGAAAATTGAAATAAAAATCTCAATTAATACGATAGTTTAAAATTTTATTGCTAATGTTATCGGTACCCTTGCCGATATAAAGCTGTCGGCTGATAAAATTCAACAATACCCAAAAACTCGACTACGCCAGATTTGCATTTAAAAATAACAATTTGATGTTTCAGCAGTCAAGAACGAGGAAAAAAATTCTAACGCGATAGCTGGTTGACCCAGCCGAGCGGACGAAATAAAGAACGAGCGCGTTAGTGGTAGCACGTGCACGAGGAAGAGAGAGAGAGAGAGAGAGAGAGCGAACACAAGGATGAGGCGGCAATCTTTTTCATCGAGCCTCTCGTCGGGGAGCGGCGGTGCCGGGGAACCGCTGATCGTCGTCGAGGAGAGTACCTTGGGCGAAGAGGAAGCGGAGAGACGCAGAAACGAGTCACCGCCACGTTGCCTTGATCCCGACTCACCCTCCCTCAATCCCTATTTGCTGTCGCCTTGGCGAGAGGCGCGTAAACACTCGCTACCTACGCCTCAGTGCACCACTGGCATAACCGCTTCTCAGGTGAGTTACATCACCACTTCCGGGTTTATTTGCGACCTGTAAATCATTAGTGGCCAGTTGATCGCGCGACGTGGTGAAACGCATTGCAGTTACGACGACGCATCGGAGCGTCCGCCTTTATAAAGCTTAATTTCTACTTATTTCCCAATGTTCATCATGTCTTCGATACTATTTTTCAATAATACGAAAGGCGACTTATGTAATAAGTCTCATAGTGGCTGACATTTTGAAGGTGCACTAGGTAAATGTGAGATACAATTTGATCGTCATTTGATCGAAAAAAGAACTAGTGTTAATGGACTTATCAGCCATCATGAGGGGCACTCGAATTAATCGACGATCGATTAGTTAATTTTACTTGATAAATAATATTGAGTGTTATTGTTTTCTAGTAATAGCAAAACAACGATAAGAAAGAATTATGCAATGTGACTCGAGAAACTAATTTGTAAGTATTTTTGACGAAAACATATAAAATTTTTTCGTTTCAATTGCGTTTAAGTATTTTTTTTTATGGTAAGAAAACTATGGGATATTTTAAATTTTTAACAATTAAAAAATAATTTCAAGTAAATTTTCACTCCAATTTTCTCAAATGGAATTAATAAATTACATTATATTTTTTTTAACCAAATAAAATTAATATACAATAAAAGATATACTAATACTAATTACACTAATATACTAAATTTCTAATATACTAAATACTAATATACAATTTGAAGAAACAAATTAAAAATTTAAATTTAAAAACAGATTAATAATGTGAAAAAATTAAACATCGAATACTAAAATGAGATGCATAATTCTTTCGACTAAATTAATTTTAATAAACATCGGGATCAATGTAAAGAAAAATATAATTAAACATATTACATCTATCATCATATTACATATATATTATACGAATGATTATAGTGATTTTTAAATTTTCCTTTTTATACACCTGATAATTATAATTTCGAGCATTATTGTTGCAACGTTCATTGCAATGTGCAATAACAATTTCAAATAATGTATCACTGACAAAAACAAAACTTGATATAATTATACTTCTCAAATGTGTTGACAATGATAGTGAAACACGAAATTTGTTTAAAATGTCATGTAAATAAATTTATACGTCAATCATAAAAATGACAAAAGAAATTGAAATAAATTCAATTTTCAAATTATGTAGTTAAAAAATGCATTCTGAGCGAAAAAATATGAAAATACTTAATGAACAACCGTTTATACTAATTTGGACGATTAGATTTGAAAAAACAAAATTTTAATGAAATTCAACGATCAAAATTTTCATGCATATAATAATGCATCACATTTTAAAATAATTAAAACTGAAATGAAAGTAAAAATTAAAACTAATTTAAAGTAATAAAAACTAATAATTTTCTAACTACAATTGTGTATGCTTCGGTAAATTTTACCTTCCTTATACTTTTGTTTATTTACCATTTAACGTAAATTATTTATAATTTATATGAAATAGTGTTTATAATAATATTATATAGTGTTCGAGTTAATGTTACTTTATTAATTAAAATTCGTCGATTGAAATTTTTATGAAACATTTAGGCATATTAGAACGTTAATTAAAATCTTTCTTATTAATATAAGATTTATAATTATAATTCTTTTATAATTTTTATAATTATTGTAAAATGTTGTTGTTGAAGCTCGATTGAAAGTTTCATACAATAATTAGATAAAATGTTTTATCACATTTTATAAAAAAAAAAAAAAAAAAAAAAAAAAAAAAAAAATCGACTCATACAAAATCACTTATATATTCTAGTCAAATTTTGTCAATCCATTCGCTCGAAACATCCCCTACTTTATAACAAATTGAATTTAATACATTTATTTTAAAATATAAAGTAGCGGCCAGCGATTAGCTGTTTTATTTAATACAAGTCAGTATACTGATATTACTTATTAGGAATTTTATTAGTCAGTAAAATATAAAATTAACATAGATAATATGCATCGATGAGCAATGTTATCTAAATACTACATAAAATTTATACGTGAATTTAAATTGGCACGCAAAGAAATTGCCTTTAATTGACAAACCTCGTAGTAATTCTTTGATAAAAGAGAATTTTAGCTTTATAGAAAAGTATTTCATTTAAAATTTAAAATTCAATAATCCGACACTGAGGATAATTTTATCGAAAGAGTTTGATCGTTTTCAATTTTGCCTTGAGCGCCGAGAAACATTAAAATACTCTAGTAATGTAACAAGTATGAAATAGTATAAAACTTAGCAATTACCTCGATATATTACATTATCTTGGCGAGCCAAATGAGTCTCATGACAATTTATCATGCCACATTTCCTAAATAAGTGCAGTTTTGCTGAAAATTAATTCGATTCATTTGTATTAATAAATTTTAATAGCATTTTTCATTTATTAAGCTCACACCAGTGCCACTGTTTATACGTAAGTAGTTTATACGCAGTTTTTTATACGTAAGATTGAGCGGAAATACAGACTCGATAATAATTTAGAAAAAGAACAACTCAGAATCATCGTTCTAATCCCATGGAACTAATTGAATAAGCATGATCAATAGGAAAATACATAGCTCGCGTAGAGATCGATACGCGTTTCATAAAAACAAAAAACAAAAAAAAAACAAAACAAAAAAAAAAACAAAAAAAAAAACAAAACAAAAAAAAATACTAGAACCGAAGTGGCTTAATAATAGAGAAATCGACTCGAAAGTTATAGTCACGAATTAGTCAAGGAAGTAATTAAAACTTCCGCCGAGGAAACACCAAAATGAACTTTGTCGTGCCGAGCTCGCGCGAGTGCTGCAAACGTATCTTAGCATCCCGCAAGAAACGAATCAGAAGATTAATTGCGCGCCTAATACGCAAAAGGGCGCCGGCAGGCGCTCACCAGTCGCCTCGAAAGTAAAATAAAACGATAAATCCCTCCAGCCACCCCTCTGTTTCGTCATCACCCGCAGGTACGTCGGCTGAGCGAGCGAGGGGGCGAGGGCTCGGGGCCATCACCAAGGGAAGCCGCCTTCCTGGCGACGCTCTCACAGTCGACGCCACCACAGCCAGGCGGCCGACGACACTCTGTCGTTACCATATCCCGGGTGCCAGCGACTCTCTTCGGGCGCAATCGCCGCGAGTCAATCGCCGCCTTCCCCATGGGCGGAGCCACGAGGATATTGGCGAGTAGGCGCGACTCCGCAGCCGGTTTACCGTCCGGACCGCCGAGCAACAGCGGCAGCACCCACAACTTGCAGCTGGATATTATGGACGACATCGCCGAGATAAAGGCGGCTAGGAAGGTGAGAGTCGGATATTATAATCGTCCGGTTGGCTCACGAGCGCGTGACTGCTTTCGCTGATCTTCCACTCGACCTCCAATCGAGATTGGACGGTTCGGTTGAAATTGTAATTTGTCGTGGGGCTGCTGGTGCTTGCAGCTCAATATGTCAATCAATTCTCATATTAAGACGTCGTTGAGACAGAACGGAATGTTTCTTTTTTCCTTTACTAAAAGTGCGACGGGAGAGTAATGTTTATTGGATTCTAATATTCTTTCAATCGTTTTTAATTGTAATTGTTTGCCGTACGTAATAATGATGAGCCAACAATAAGGCTCAAGGAAATATTTAAATTTGTGATCGAGCATTGAGAAGATATTGTGGACATTAATATAATTGGCCTAAATTTAATGCAAATATTGGTAAACTGGCGATTATGATGAACACCTGAAATATTGAAAAAAAAATTAGGAATTTATGTATTCGATGACAAGTAAAATACTTGCGAGAAAATTACGGCGTTGACGAGCCATTGAAATCTCATTGAGAAGATGAAAGAACATTTTTAAAAACCAAAACATACCCTTCTATTTTAATTAATAAATTAGTGTTTATGATAAATGAAGAATTTTTAATTGCTGGATATTTATGTAATTTAAATTTGAAAAAGCTGCTTTAATCGTAGGTATTGGTGTATTGCGCAACAAAGGAAAGCGCTAGGAACTTATTTTTAATTTGTTAACAATTCGTGGACGTTTGACCTTTGTTCGCATAAATATTCATAATAATGTATTACGTGCATGTGAACACAAAGGTGAAATTGAATTTCTGCTACAAAATTATCACAGCCAAAGCACTCGAACATTCGAGATTACTTTCGGTGGTGGATTTTATAGTTTTATAAAATGATTTAATTACAATAACCCAACTATACAGCTGAACGCTAATTTAAATAAATGGGATTTCCAATGCAAAGTCGAAAACGTTAATTCTAAGTAGTCAGTTCCAATAAAAGTTTCTGCGAAACATGAACGTCTGTGTCATAGGCAGTACTATGATTCTTTTTGTTTGTTTGTTTTTTCCTTTTATTTAACACTGAAATAAAGCACGAAACGGAAGCTCCCCGATACAAACAAAAACTTACCGAGATATAATAACGATCCAATGTGCCTCCACATAGGTGCGGCTAAAAATGTGGAAGACACCATCCCGAGAGCGCGTGTGCGAGGTGCAGCCCCTCGAAGGCAACAGCTCCGGGTGCACGCAGAGATATACACAGTACCAACCTCGGCGATACTCGGATTTCGCCCTGACGACGATCCCAGCGGTGCCGACACGGAGACGCGCCTCGGAGATGCCACCCCGGGTACCGCCCCCTGTACCGCCGAGAACAGGCATCGTGTGCACCAATACCGACCTTATATCGATTCTTAGTTCGCTCACCTCGTCCGCCACGGAGATCGACAGATGCGGCACCGAGGACGATGACAGCAAGTCCTCGACATCTGCTACAAAGACGATCGAGCAAAAGAGAAACAGGTGAATGTTTCCGGCCTAATTCGAGAATCTTCTTTACTTGCAATAAGTCTGCGAAAAAATTGTTCTCATTTAAAATTAACAAAATATTATACTTCTAATAAATAAAGGTATGATAAATAATATAAGCGTAATATACGATTTACAATTTGTGTCGTTCGATATAATATAATCGGCTATATGTTATAATACTATTACATATTAATTATTCTTATAATCACCGTATCGAAAATATTGATCAAATTAGTGTATTCATCTGTTTGTAAGTAGAGAAAAAGCATTTGAGTAAAAATTTGGATAATTTATAAATATTTATCTACGATAATAACCATAATTTATTCGATAAACCATAAACTTGTATTTTATTATAAAGCAACAAAGAATTACAATTAAAAAAAAAAATATATATATATATATATATATGTAGTATTTACTAGTTAATTAAGAAAAGAGAATCTTTTGTTTTTTAATTAAATGTTTTTAATTAAACACTTCAACAAAGAGGAAGAAGAAGCAATGCTGAATATTTTTGAGAGTGAAAACAAAATCAAGTACTCTTTCACACCACCAATTAACTTTCAATAATAATTTTGTTATGACTGTTAATTTGCCAAATAATGATAAGACTAATGGAATAATTAAATGTAAAATGACATTGTAAAACTTAATAAATAATTATATTGAAAACATTTGAATACGTGTGTTAGCTTAAAATCTATATTCGTGCATCGATAGCTATAAATATATTATTTTGTAACTTATAAGTGAAATTAAGTTAAATTAAATTATTTTTAAGTTTATTTTTCTTAAAGTACTATACTATAAGAAAAATTTAAAGCCAATAAAATATAAAAGACAACAAAAATCGTTACTCGTAACAAATACATTAATAGAATGTATAAATATATTAAATATAAATTAAATTCATTAAATTAACAAATTATAGAAATTAATTATTTCAAGCTAAAAACCTCATTGGTATATGCTCTCCCGGTATGCTTGTTTTGAATAAAATCTATTAATATAAAATAGATTATTGTTTATTAATGGTTTTAAAATTTATATCAAACATTATATTATAATGTTCAATATTTATGAGGCGTGTGTATGTAATACTCAAAGTAAAAAATTTATCAGCGAAAATGAATAGCACGCGGTGATGCAGGACCGAAGCCGAAAGAGATATTCGATTCGATTCTTATTGCAATAATTGAGAGAGAGAGATAGTGATTCAAGTTGGACGAAAGCTCCATATCCGAATAAATGGCTTGTTTTATCATTTGAGCGCAGACTGAAAAGCAATCGGTCCAACAGCTTTGACGTCTCAATACTGAACGAGTGCAACGAGGGCAAACAGTCGGGTGCCACAGGGACGTCCAAGGGCTCGGGCGACGCCAATCCCTCGACAATGTCGCCGTCGTCGTGGTTCGTTAAGCGCCACCAGCCAATGGCCAAAAAACAAAGGAGCACGGACGCGGCCCCTGCGGCCCTCAGCTTAAATTTCGAGAAGTCGAGAGTAGTGAAGTTGATCAAGGACAATCTCGCGAAGACCTCGCCGACGAAGGACGAGGCCGAGCTGCGGCACAAGGTCGTTTGGGATGGATCCAGCGGCACCAAAGTCGATGCACAGGTTTCGTTTAGTTGCACTATTAATAGATATTTACGTGGTCATGGTAAATAACATCACGATGTGTTAAAATACTTTGAACATGGCATATTCCAATCCTCTCTGCTTTACATAGGAACACGCGTGTGATTGATTAAAATTTTAATAGGTCATTGTTGTGCGGAAAAATCGAAAGAAACGAGTTTTGTCGTGCAGCTATTACGGACTTTATTTTTGTTTTGTTTTGTTTTGTTTTTTGTTTTTTGTTTTTTGGTTAATATAAAAGCCATAAATAACGGCATTTTAATTAATTTTGTATGCTGATATTATTAATTAATTTATTTCATAGTTAATACTCTTGAAAATTTCTTTATATCAGTTCCACAAACTTTTCACAAACTTTTTAACAACATTTTAATATATTGACAATCGCGACAATTATATTTTTTATTTTTTCAAATAATTCAAAAAAGTGCGATTATGATAAAACATTATGAATTGTGAAATAGTTATCCAATTTTATCTAATAGACTTTATAACAAAGAGACATTAAACTAATATCAAAATTTTTTTAATTCGATTAAAGTTTATTGTTGGCAAAATTAATTTACGTGATTAACAAATCTTTAACGCCTTTTGATAATTTTCACTAAATCTATACTATTTACGTTTTTCGAGCAATACTTTTTAGAAATTATTCTACTCTTAAGTAAATTATTATGTATATTAAATGTTTTTCTTTTACTTTTCCATTAAAAACATTCTATTTTGTTTTTAATATTTTTATATAAAAATTCATTTTTGACATGATTAATTTGTTTTATTATAATACTTTTTAGAAATTATTCTACTCTTAAGTAAATTATTATGTATATTAAATGTTTTTCTTTTACTTTTCCATTAAAAACATTCTATTTTGTTTTTAATATTTTTATATAAAAATTCATTTTTGACATGATTAATTTGTTTTATTATCTGTAATTATATTGCTACACACACACGCACACACACACACACATCTATATATATATATATATATATATATATATATATTATTTTAATATACACGGTATATTATTTTTTATACGTTTCCTTATTAAAGTGCAGAACAAATTTTATATTTAATGATTTCAAATTGAATTTTGAATTTTTATTACTTTAATATATATATAGGAAATTTTATTATTCAAGTGCACATATATTTGATCTATTCTATATATGTTCAAAATTCAGATTCAATAATGACGTTTGTAATATATGATCACATTATAATTCACTGTGGACTCGATTTTTAATGACTCTTAATGACTCGTTCCTTATTATATAATTTCTTATCAAATACAAGTGCGATTAAATAAAAATAATCTAATTCGAACTAAATTTTCCAACTAGAAATTCTATAATTCTTTTAATGCTAATATAACTTTTTGGATTAAAAAAAATTAATATACCATACTTTATTAAAAAATTATTAAATTAAAAATCTTTCACGTCATAGGATTTAAAATCTGTACTTATAATCAACCTATAAGGTACTCAGAATTAGTAATTAATCTTAATCTACTAATACCATATAAAAAAATAACTTTTTACTACCAACTATGCCATGACATAGATATATCACTGTACACTCTACAATAGATTTAGCTTCATATGATATTATCATGAAAGTGATTAGATCGATTTTATCTCAATAGTGAATCTCAATAGGATATTTGAACAGGGACATGAGATTAGTTATACAAGTAATCAGTCGTGAATCAGCCATCAGCTTTGAAGCGTAATTACTAAATAGAATCTAACATTGCTGACTATTCGCTTTACTTAAGCAATCCCCAAATCAATTTAAACATAGAAGTTTAGGAAAATTGCTCGATGCATCAACACTATGTGTTATCCATTTCCTTGTTTATACACTACGAGTGCTTATATATTTTAACCTTTTATTGCTGTCGCTGAATTTGTAAAATATTATGTAAACATGAATGACAAGACTCTTGAACCTGTACTTCAATACCTTCAATATTTTCTCTATTAATGGAAACGGGATTTTCTGATTCAAGATAGTTTTCACTTTACATAATATTCACTTTGGTACTTATTGTGTACATATAATTTTAGAAAACTACAATTATACATATCTCTGATAAAATACAAATTAATAAAAAAAAAAAAAATAATAATAAAAAAATTTATTATAACTCTATTAAGTCTTTGTAATTTTAGAAAATATTAAGCAATTTATTTTTGAAAATCCTGCGAGCTTTTACAGAAAAAGTTAAAACATACATTAACAATTTTATTCATTTACAGAGTTTAAAATAACTAATTTCTTATGTAAATAATTCGATAATTGTACTGAACGTATATAAAGGATGTATATTAAAATTTATTCCATTACTAGTTGTTTATACAATTTTCTCGATGCTATTTGAGAAACGTAGATAGAATTATTTTCTGTCTATAATAATGATTTTTATAAGACTAGGCTAAGGAAGTATAATATGTTAAAAAACATGGCCAGTAGTAGGTTTACGGCAATAAGATTCTTATAGTTAATTCGCAAACTACAATAGCAAAAACTATCATATATTATAGAATTTTTCTATAATAAATATTTTAATACTGCTATATTTCCGAATGAAATTTATAATTTTTCTAATAATAATAATGTATGGATATCATAAGAAAATCCAAATATTGCTTATAATTTTAATATTATGTACATTTTACAATTACATTAATATTAATATTGCAAATTTAATTTAATTGTATATATATATATATATTACCTTACTTTAAACTTATTATTATTATTATTATTATTATTATTAATTACGTAATAGTACTATTCATTAATTACTTAAAAGTTGTTAGCACTCGATCAACGATGCATTCATTTGTATACCATATTATGGTTGCCAGTTATAGATTTAATTAATTTTTTTTTATTTCCTATGTTCTATGTAATATACATATACTTATTTTTATTAAAATATAATAATTTTAATTCCTCCAGAAATTATTTCAAACATTGATCATATACACTGTGAGTTTTTGTATATCTATTACTCTTTTTCACATATACTAATTACGAAAGTTAAACATTGTAAATTATTCGAATCAGCGCAATCATGTGAATTATCGTTTAATGGAATAGGCAGAAATTACTAAAGTATAAAATAAACTTGTAAAACTTACTGTTCGAATTGTTTATTAATTTTTTTTTTCATTCAAATTATACTTGCATCGTTGATTGTATAGAAAAAAAATTAATACAAAGAGGTTAAATTAGTAAGATAAGAGCCAAAAATTGTGAATAAATTAATAAAATTTGTTTTTTTATACTTTCAGATTTTAGGCAATGCTATCGAGGAATTTTTAAGAAGTAGTGGAGTCAGTAATGAGATAAGCGAAACCTTGGACAATACAAATACCTTGAGAAAGTCACCGGGAAAACCAACAAAAGGTGGTCCAGCGAGTGGTTCTACCAGTAAAGTCACAACCTGGTTTACCAACGATAATTTGTCTGACACGAGCAACATCACCGGAGGAGCAACAACGTCTGGTAACAAGGAAGATGAACAAAGTGATTCATGCGAACCATCGATCTGCTCATCCTTAAAAGATCTTTTCGTCAAGTGAACATTATACAAATGGACAACAGCACGAAGAATGGAGATAAAATGTTTATTTATAAGCACATTGCTCTTCCTCTATCTCTCTCTCTTTAACTTCTTTCTCACTCTTCACTCTCTCTCTCTCTCTCTCTCTCTCTCTCTCCTCCCCTTTCTTTCATTTCAAACGCGAATATACGTGCTTTTATTCTATTTTATTAGATTATGATATATATATATAGAAATACAGAGTTCGTTAATGGTCAATAGAATTCACAAGAGATCTACACATTCTTGTTTGCCTTTCATACTTTCTGACAAATTAACGTTTAATAATTAAGTTTTATACGGAATAATATTGAGACAAAAGAAATATTGAATCTCATAAATAATCTATACATCAAAGAAAATAAAAATAGTTCAAGTTTGTGGAAATTAATTGTGAAACTAATAATGCAATTGATTCATATTCTTTTAAATATTAAATAATTACTTGAAAATTTAAATGCATAATTAGAAATGTTTTATAATAATATATATTTGTACAATGTATTAATATTTATTAGTTTTCTAAAACACGAAATTATAGTTAATAATAAATTTATCAATATATAAAAAAGGCAAATATAAAAGCACATATTATATAAATATAAATATGTTGCGGGTAATTATAAAAAATTAGTAACGGATATTCATGCAAATTTCACTTAGTAGTTAACAAACAGTATGTATTATTTTATTTTTATTAATTTATGCCTTTATTTGTCATTAAATTATCATGTAATTGTCATACAGAGTAAAAATTTAGTACGAAAAAGAATTAAAAGTTATAGTGATATTAATAAAAAGAAATATTATCTTAAAAAGTTATGATTACAAAATAAATAGTACTATATGGATCCCATAACCAAGAATATTAAAAAACTGAATAATTCACAATTTGAACAATATTTTACAATTATCTAAAATCTTAAACACATTTTTTATAAAATTAACCTACTAACATAAATCAGCAATTATAAGAATTATGATTACTACTATTACTATTACTATTACTACTGCTACTACACTACTCTGCCAATAATACTACTACTACTACACTACCCCTATTACATGTACTGGTACAACTACTGCAAAAACAACAACAAAACTACTACACGACACCACTACTATTACTACCACTACTACTACTGCTACTATTATTACAACCATACTATCCTTATTATTATTATTATTATTATTATTATTATTTATTATTATTTATTAGTACTGTTTGTGTTATTATTATCACTATTATTATTATTATTATTGTTGTTGTTACTATTGTTATTATAATTATTATTATTCTACAAACAATAAATTCAATTCGGTCACACATATTTAATACCCCTACAAGGTGTCTTTTTTTTGATAGTTTGCGTTATATTCATGTTTTATATTAAGTATATTACAAAAGCTCATATCCGAATATTCATATAATATATATTAAATTATAATATTTGATATAGTATATTATATTAATGCAATATCTAATATCAATATAACATATAATATAATCAATGCATTCCGAATATATATATATATATATATATATATATATATATAAATATTAAGTGAATAAGAATTTATATGTTAACTAAAGAAGTATTATTGCAAGATTCATAATATTTCAAAACATGAAACAGTAAACTAGATGACCGAACATAAATGCTTAAAATGCGTGTATAAAAAAAAATTAATTATGCATAATTAACGTCAATAATTATTAAATAGCTTAGCTAAAAGCAAAATAATAAATAAATATAAGATTACTTTATAAATACACATATACAAAAAATCTATTTAAAAATAAATAATAAGTATAAATTTCCTTTGGTATAACGATTTTTTGTTAATTTATGATATGACCACATTTCGATTTTCAAATCTTATAAAAATACTGCTATTATTCAAAAGAAAGTAGATTAAACAGGAAAAATTTAAAAAGAAACATTTAAAAAGCTCTTAAATATAAATCTAATATTAATTATTTATGACAATGTAATGTACCGAAAATGTTTAAATTATTGAAAATTAGATTTTTAATTTTTTGTTCAATTTATTAGTAAAAAAATTTTTTTGTGTACCAGAATTGTTAGAAAATTATTTTCGAAAAAATACAAAATATTTTATACATCTTCTCAAAGTACAAAAAGTCAATTATTTATTTTTAAAAAAATTGTTAATTATTTTAAAAGATTTAAACATTGTGATCATAAAGTTAAAACATTAACAAAACACACATTAAAAATATTTTATATTATTAAAAAAAAAAACATTCTCTCTTGCAATTAAACATATATTTTTTAATATTCAAACTAAATCACATTCCAATTTTCATTGATTTTTCAATACTATTTAAATAAAAATATTCACTTCCAGAGAAATTTTGTATAATTGATATTTAAATTTCTTAAAATCAATCATACAAATATACTTATATTTTTCAATAACAATTACTCAGACATTTGTCACAGCAATTGAAACAATTCACATTTATTTTAAAAATTTGCATATTATTTGCTTGAATGTATTTTAAGAGAATAAGGGAAAAAATTTTTCGTTAAAATTCTGTTCTTTTATTGAAATATTATAATTGCTTGTACGATTGTAATAAAATAGTAAAAATTCTTACATTTGAGTGAAAGAATATAACAGAATATTGACATTATAACACTACACAATAAATTCTCGTATTATTTTAAAAAATAACTAATTTATATACAATTTAAATTAGTGAAAAATGTGAATCGCGAGAAACCTATCAATGCTATCTACGAAATTCTACAGTAATAATAAATTATTTTCTGTAGCGTAAATCTGATAATTTAAAAACAACAAATTATAGAAGTTGAGCACGGAAATAAAATACGTACAAAAATGATAATACGTCTGAAAAGTAGGAAAGATCAATGAACAAATAGAGAAAAAATAATGAAACGTTGATTTATAAGCCTTCGCTGGACGAAGGAGAATTTCAAATCAAATACTCGATGAAAATAATATGTAAACAAATGTATAATATAAATATAATCAACTTTATTGATGTTGCAAGTAATTCTAATGTTTTTGAGGAATTTGCACCCATTCTCTAAACTCGCGATATTTGAATATGTAACAATGAATATAACTAGTAATAAAACTTCTTGCGCGCGTTATAGCATCCTGCAACTCCATTATGTAACGTATTATTCATTAGCAATAATTTAATTGTGCAACTTATGCAAACGGCGATCCCAATTTATTCAAAAATATGTAAAGCATTGTTATATAATATAAAATGTAGAGAATGCACTTGCCAATGAACCTAATAATTGATATTCCTTTCAATTCTACGTTTATCAATAATAATTATAATAACTGATTCCACTCGCTTTAAATTATATATTTTAATATCACGAACATTATTAATTATAAAAACAATACTGTCAAACAATGGATATGGAATTCCATTTTAAGAAGGTTGATCATTTTACATCTACTATTTAGTACGTAAAGTCATAAAATAAATTATTTTTTATAAAATTTTAAACCAAAAAAAAAATTGCAAATCATCTCTATGAATGTTTAGACAATCGCTAGTAAAAAATTAAAACACAAATGATACTATCGTTTCAAAAACATAATTTTATGTTTGGATATATACTAAAAATCTCTTTCGACCTCAAATGCACAAAAATCTTAAAACTTACTTCTCTATTTCCGTATAGATATATAAATATACGTATTTATTTTAATCTAATGAAAGAGTTGCTATTATCAATTATATTTAGACAATAACTTATTTTATTGAAATGTACTATTACTATATATGCATGGTCTAAGCATCAATAACACAATTATTAGATTTTACCTCTCGAATAAGGTCTGTATAAGGTCTCATAAAATAAATAATTTATTTCTGGTAGTTTTTAGTTAAATTTAATTGTCGACGCCATAAACAATTGAAATTTTATCAAAAAATTATTTAAAAATGCGAATCGATTATGAAAAGGCCAAGTAATATTTTATGTTATAACGTTATGGAAAATCAATAAAAATAATTTATATTAAAACTATATTTATTGAAATTATATATTCAGGAAATGTATTTTTGTATTAAAAAATGAAACTATTATTATTCAAGCAATGAAAACCGATAAAAATTAAAATAGTCTTAACATCTTATGCTTATTGATTTATATAAAATTAGAAAAATTATGAGAAACTTGTTAATATTATTTATTATACGTACGTACACGCACACATATTATTTATCAAGTAATTAAAAATAAACAATAGCTTTAATCAAGTGAAAAGTAATTTATACAAATTATCGATTGTACAAATTAATCAATAGGCAGTAACAATTTATATCTATTAAACGATTCATTTACAAGACAATAGAGTAAAACTTTTTTATCGATATGTAACGTGCGTTTGGGGTACAAACAATTTTAGATAAACATGCAAGAGCATTGAAAGAGAGAGAGAGAGAGAGAGAGAGAGAGAGAGACAAAGATGTATGACCGAACACAATGAGATCGTTACGATGCAAAACTGTAAATAAATTTGACACTGAATCGCTTTGAATGTTCCTGGCGGCTCTCACCGTCTGATAAAGGGATAATCGTCGCGCATAGTTGCAATTTACGTATCACTGTAGCACGATCATCAATAACAAGTTGTGATACACGTATTATACATTATATTTTTACGAATACGTACCACCCACCCGTTTCCACTATTATTTTCTTTCTGCTTGAAAAATGTCAAAAATAACATAAAACATGTTATCGGCGCTTTTATAATTGAATAATTGTTTAAAATTATTCCAACTTAAATTTACTTGTATATGATATTGTCATAGAATAAAATTGCGTAATTTTCCGATTAATACTATATAAATTGTACCTTCATAAAATGTTGAATTAATATATATATATATATATATATATATATATATATATATATATATGTATATATATATATATATATATATATCATAACTCGTAACTTTGAAACAAAAATGAAAATTTATCAAAACTGTATAAAGCAAATAGTACAATTATATATTCATTACTTAGTTCCATTCAGTTCTTATAAAATAAAAACAAAAAACGATTAGGTGAAAACATCAAATCAGCAATATAATTATCAAATGGGTATTTAGGTAATAATAGTTGTAAAGATTTTGATTTACGTATCCTCGTTACCAAGATTTTTTATTACAAAATTATAGTAGAATTTTTCTCTATTAATTATTGCTGATTTACTTTATTGAAAATCCATTTATGAAAATATACAAACTTTATTGATAAAGGAAGGTTTAATTGTAAATTTTAAAATAAAATAATGTCAACCAAAGATATGCACGACAGTAAAAGACAACGTACATACTTACAAATCGTAGAAATATCGATGTTATTTACTAGATTCGACTCATCTGTATTGACATTAAAATACAGAAAATACCAAATGTTGCCCAAAATAAATTTTGAATGTTGAAAAAAGAAGGACTTTTATTTGAAAACCATTAATTTTCTTTTACAAAACAATATATATATCTACAAGATAACAAAAACGTATAGAATAAATTTCTTTAATATAATGTTCATTACAAAATTATCAAACAATCTTTTATTATGCACATTTAATACTTATAATTAGATATTTATTATAATTATATTCAATACTACTAGGTATTGTTGAATACTTATTGACTTTCTTATTTTTAACAGTTCGATTAAAATGTTTAAAATATATATATACAAACTGATGCAAAATTATTTTAGAGCTAACAAAACAAGGAGAATAATCTGCAATTTTTAATAAATTTGAAAGAATTCGAGCGAAATTATTGTTTTTGACCTCATTTACGTAATTATAAAGATTTTGTATAAAATCTTGATAGAATAATTTCGAAATTCTATAAGAGAACTAAAAATAAAAAAATTAATAAGTCAGATTATATTTTTGAAAACATCTTTATTTCGCAGAAATCAATACTATTATTAATTGCTAAAACTAAACTCTTCGTGATATTACGATATTCTTTTTTGCTTATACATACCGCAAATAAATAAAAATATGCACTAATACAAATTAGAAGAAAAAAAATTAAAATAATATATTGGTCATTTCATGCAATCGTTAACATTTTTCCTTATTTATTAATAAAAGCTTTATTTGAATGCTTCAAGATACGCGTTTCCGTAAACATTTTGCATCCATGCATATTTTTTATATTTTCGAAATAAAAACAAAGGAAAACTCAATAATTATCCGCCAATGCACTGAATAATTGAATTTGACTATTTACACTTTTCACTATTACCAGAAACACATGAAAAGAATATAATTTAACTGTAAATTTCATTGAATTGAAAGAGAAGGTCAATGAAGAAATGGACACAGCATCATGAGATGTAAGCATAGTCGATGATAAATTTCGTTGGAAATTGTATTCGTACCTATTTGCTGCCATTCTCATAAACCTGTCTTCTTCTTAATCACTATCTTGTATTTCTCCACAGTTTCCTATAATAATTTTCTTTTGTATAACACCACTCGGCAGAACCAACTTCTCTATCTATAATTAATAAAAATATAAATATTTGTTAATCTGCAAATGATTATCTTGTAATAGGTTGATGTTTGTCTTATTAAATAATACATGTCAATGAGACATTAATACTTAATTTTTAAATCTAATTTATAGTATATTCTATGTATACTATATCTTTAATATATGTTTTCTATATTCCATTTTAAAAATAACAATATGAAAAATAAAATTAGTCCGTAATCTCAATTCCTGAACAACAATTATATAGATTGAAATAATTAATTATTTGCCGAAAATCAAACTATTTAATTAAGCTATGCTTCGATTTAAATATACAGTTTACGATTTTACTAATTATATTATCATATTCCACCGGACAAAAATAATTTCCAATTAATTAAAGTTATATACATATATTACTAAATTAGTTACACTTGGAATTTCATGTGATTTCATGGAATTTCACGTGATAAAAATTAATTTTCGCATTTATTTTCTAAAGTTTAAATTTCTAAAGTAATTAAAGAATTATATCGAAATTATGATTAATTTATTATACTGAGTCAGTGAGATCTTAAAATTAGGCTGAAACTACAAAATAAATTAATAAACAGAATAGCTGCATGTGATCATCTTATATTCACAAAAAAAAAAAAAAAAAGGCATTACCAGCTATGAAAAATTACTTAATTGCAGACTAAGTTTTGGATGATTAATCTAATAATCAAATTAATTAAGAATATCACGTACCTTTTTCAAAATTTCCATTCCTTCAAGAACTTTTCCAAAGACAACATGTTTTCCATCGAGCCAGCTCGTCTTGGCATACGTAATAAAGAATTGCGAATTGTTGGTATTTGGTCCACAATTTGCCATCGAAAGAATGCCAGCCTCTGAATGTTTTAGTTTGAAGTTTTCATCCTTAAATGTGTTGCCGTAAATGGATTTACCACCTAACCCATTGAAGCGGGTAATGTCGCCCCCCTGACACATAAATTCCGGGATTATTCGATGAAACATGTTCCCTTTGTATCCGAAACCCTTCTCGCCGGTACACAACAATCGGAAGTTCTCCGCTGTTTTTGGAACGATGTCGGGGCGCAACTACAAACAAAATGCGAACATCAGATATTGATTGTAAAATTATTAAATTTATATGGTATTATTATTTAAAAAATATTACAGATTATAAAGCTAATTTCAATGTAATATTTATATAATAAACTACTCTTATAGCTTTGAATATTAATGATTCATACATAATTCATTTCTCCCTATTTAGGATAAATTTCAAATTATTCATTTGTATGAAAATTGTTTCAACTTTGAGATTCACATTATTGTTTAAACCAATAACGCGAAGCAATATTATTGAATTCCTTTCCTTCCATTTTGATAACCAATCGATTAAGAATAACGTCGATTTGTAAGTCATTTGAGAAGGTTTTACTACGCATCGTTGAAATATAACAAATTCAATCTTAGTACAAATTTAAAGAAATTAATGAATATTAGTATTTAAATAAATAACATTTACATATATATATATATATATATATATATATATATATATATATATATATATATATATATAATTAATATAATTTATATAATAATATTTTTAAAATTTGTATTAAAGCAACCGATTGTAGCAAAAGATCTGAGCTATAAGTAAAAGTTCAGTCCATGTGCTTAAAAGAAATGTGATGACTTTTCAATATATTTCAATAAAATCCTATATTTTATATTTTTATCGACATAATGTTATGAATTAATTTTATTATAAATAAATTTCAATATCATGTGTATGATTAATTATATTAATTTTAAATCCATATTTTAAACACATATTTTTATATATATATATATATATATATATCCGTACAAACTAAATAAAGATAATATAAAAACAATTTCTCTAGTGAATTGCTTTAATGATAGAATGCTAAATAACAATATAATTAATTTTTTAATAAATATTTTAAAAACTCAATCAAAACTCAATGTCTTTTCATATTAAAATGTTAAAAAGTCGTAATACATTACTATTTAATTATCTAGTTTTAGAAACCTTTATTAATTAATAAATGATATTCTCAAAATAATAATATTTATAATAAAAAATTATAATAAATTTGTATACAAAAATTCTAAAAAATCTGGAAAATCTTATAGTCTCATTCAGTATCAATATTTAAGTACAAATTGAATTATTATTCCCAGATTCCAATTTTTGCAATGTCAAAATTGGAGAAAAAATAATGATATTAGATAATTAAGAAGAAAGTGATTATATAAGTAAAAGATATGAATTAATTACAAATTTGCATGTTTAATAAATATTTTGTATATTCCCAAACAGATATTAGATAAATAGATATAAAAACAAATTTTTAATTAAACTTTTATAAATATATTTGAATTTGATAAGAAAATAATGAAAATTGAAAAACTTAATGTTATGTAATCTCGTTAAAGTTCAATATTGTTCCTAAAAATATGACTAATAAATTCCTAATTTATGAAATAAGGACAATATTTAACAAATATTACAACATAAATATTCTACTAATTTAATGTTCTCGATTAAAATGTAAAAATAGATGATAAAAGAAGCTAAGCAAGCATGCTTTGATTCCTACATTTTATAATTACAAATATACTTGAAAATTCAAGTGACCATCTTATTATGTTAAAAAAACTATATCGTATAGTCGATTTAAAAATTTTTATCTGAATATTTGTACAATTATACAAAAATTCAGAACGCAGGCTTCTAACTTGGGTATTCCCGTACACACAATTGTTCACTTAAAACATTCCTCGATACAAAACTTACATTTTATAATACAATGTTCATATTGTTAAATACTCTATACGCAAAATATTCTGCAACGATCAAGCCAATTCTGTTTATGGTAATTTCAATTTTTTAAATAATTACCACAAACTTGATGAATTTAATTATATTTAATTAATCCATTCATTTTAATCTAATAAAAAAAGCTTGTATCGCACAATATTGAATATTTCTTAAAAGCACTACTATATAACAACAATCCAAAGTCTGTATATAATTTATTGGCATTGTCATAAACATTAATTCTTAAATGTTAAGTCATGAAAATTAGCCAGAATATTTGTAGAAATCATTTTAATGCAAAATTATATTAAAATACAATGACAATGATAATCGAGTATGCTATTTGATAAAATATTTATGATATTCTACCGGTTGAAATGATCTCTGTAGAATCATTGAGCGTACATTGAATTAATTACAAATCCACGTTACTCCACAACCAAAATATGCCCCAATGACATAAAAATGAAAACGATAACAAAATCAATAATATAATATGCCATGGCAATTGACCTATCCGTCAACCTGCTGAATCGAGCAAAAGGAAACAGCATAAATTGGTGGAGATTAGCCTTGGCGGTAACTAATAAAAAAAGACGGTAGATACTTGGAAAGAAGCTTTTCCCAACCAATGCATCCCCAACGTGTCTCGGCAACTTACCTGCATAATAACTCGGCCGAGACTTTCCTTGTCGGCGGTTATGTCGAAGAAGACTCGTGGCAGTTTTACCTTGTCCATGCATCCGACCAGGGTATTCAACGACCTCGCATGATCGGAACCGCATCTCGTTGGAACGGCGGCTGCCAATTGATTAGCGCAACCGAGGCTCGAATCTATTATTGGGAACCGTAAACGACAGATTGTAGCAAGTGCCATTGTAATTGCGTTGGAAGCAGAGTTAAACGAGCATCGACCTGCTGGTTCCTAAACGCCGACTATTAATCACACGAGTGAGAGGGCTGCAGCGACGACCGTGTAGAGCGTTAAAGAGTCTCCACGACGTGCGGCTACTTCGCGAAAAAACGTGCTCCTAAAGATTTAAGAACGAAGAGAGTGCGCGAGAGAGAGAGAGAGAGAGAGAGAGAGACAAGATTGGGTGGAGAGCGCGTGAGTGAGGGCCGGACGCATACGAACTTATATAAAGCTGACGAGTTCCGCTAGTGTCGCCATGCTATTGGCGCACGAGTTCACGCAGCAGGAAGACGATGACAATCTATCTCTCGATTATCATTATTTTTGTCTTTTGTTCTTTTAATAATAATTATAGCGAATTATAGCTTCTTCATGCATCCAAACTAAATCTTATACTTTTCGGGTTAGTAATTAAATGATTTCCCCCTACTTGATCTACGTACATTAAAGCAGATGTTGAATAGTAATTTTCTTTTCTGCCACGAGTGTCGCTAGTTGAATTTTCAATCAGCCTTATTAATTTGAAATTGCCTTTAGAAATATATAAATAAATAAATATATATATGTTCATATTGGTGATTTAAAATTAATTAGACTGATTGAAAATGCAACGGTTAATATAGTATAAATATAGTATAATTACAGTGTAGACGGTATACGGTCTAATTTTAAATCGTTCGTATGCATATATTAACAGACGATGTTTAAACATTTCTTTACAACATACATTTTTGTTATTTTACTTTTAACGATTAATTCAAGAAAACTGATAACTTTCCGATTGTATTGTGAATCGCGGGCGTTTAAATATGCAAACCAACACATGCAAGCCAAATAACGAATTTTTAAACGAAAGCATCGTAGGTTTATGGTCATAAGCAATCTAAATCGACAGACTCAACGTTGTAATAATTCTTCAAGCTATTAAGTAATTCGTTTCAGGCCAATATCATTACATTATTTTCATTAATTACGATTAACACTGCAGAACAAGGTACATTTATAATATTCAAATTGTTAAAAAATAATCTTACGCGCGTCTTGCACAATTTATATAATTTTGTCGTCTGAAATTATTCGTAGTGATTACTTTGTTTGCAACGAACATTTTAAAAAATTCGAGAAAATGATACTTTTCACAATATAACGAATATTTGCACAGAATAAAACAAATATTTACAAAATTAAACAGGAAAGTGTAATTTTGTAATAAAACAAAATCAATTACCATGGAATTCAATGTAAGACAAATTATTGGGGAAACACATTTATATAATCAAATATTTAAATAATTACAACTAACGTTCTAAAGCTATATTTAACGCATATAAATTTTTCATACTGGAAAATGGGCTTAAATGTAATTTACTTTCATAATTAATTAATCTTATTATTTAAAAAGCAATACCATCTCGTATATTTTTTTAGAAATTGATATTTAATACGGATGACAGACAGCTGTATAAGCGATTGAAATTCCAAAGAATAAACATAATTTGTATTGTTAGTACACTCATATATTTTATAAATGAATTCATCCTGTTAGTTGTTTGAATAGTACAAATAATTTTAGATCTCACTACTAATTACAAATTAGAATAGTAATATTATAAAAATAATTATACATAATACAGGGACACAATAAGTCATTTATAGTAATTACACGAATTTAGCAATAAAATAAATGAATAAAAATTATTGTTCAATTCGTGTCTGTCAATACATAATTTTTTTTAAATTTGTATTGAAATTTAATGATTAAGTAATTTTAGTCACTCAAAAAATCCGTACGATAGTTTCGAAAGGGCGTGTATATTTTATAAAATGACAAATACTATGTACGATTTAAACTATAAGAAAGCAGTATAAAATCTATTATCCATTCAAAATTTTTGTCCTCGATAAACATAATTTAGCTATTACAATAATTTTTTAATAAAGTCACTTCTTATTTTTTTGGCTTATACAAATTATCCATAAAAAAAAAAAAAATTTATATCCCCAATTTTAGATGTAGCAAATAGTTTTTTTGCGATTCTCAATATTTTCTATATAAAATTCAAATTGAAAAAAAAAAACAAAATAATTTTCTTTTTGTACAAGCAATTGAAATTAAATGCCATTAATTTAAGAAGAAAAATTAAATTTAAAATTATCCATGTAATATTAATTAAATACATTCATATTATTTTAATAATTTATTATTTAAACATGAAATCAGTAATAAATCAGGACTATACGAAGTGAATGAAGAAAAACAGTTTTAAGTTAACCTTAAATTTACGAATTAATTGAATTATAATATAACACATAATTTAAATGCTAATTACTTTAAAATTACTTGTAAAGTATTAAGTTATTAAGTAATATTTGGTATTTGTTGTCTAATTATAGGAATATATATTTTCTTTTTCGCTGCTTTAACGTTGTTGTATTAAGAATGTAAAGTTTACTATAATATTTGAGCTAGTAACGATTGTAGAAGATATTGTGCATTGTTTAAGTTAATAGTATTAAGATTTAATAAATGACAACTTGATTAAGTTTTATGTTGTGTTAAATATTATATTTATAATAAATCGATAAAGCAGCAAAAATTTATCCAATTTTTTTTCATCATCGAAATAAACGGAAACCCGCGTAACTCTCATTTGACTCTTACCTTTAAATTAAAAGACAAATCATATATATTTAAGATCTTAAATAAAATTATTTGTATTACATCGCATTTATCATAATAAGATATAAATGTATACTTTAATAAAGTAAGAACTTCTTATGAAATGAAATAAAAATTCTTTATAATACATAAATGACCTTCGTACATAGAAAACACGGCTTTAATAACACGATTGTTAAATAAAATTCGTAAGAATTATTTATTACCTGATAAAACACATTTTTCTGGTTATTTAATTCACATTTTAAAAATTAAACTTAAAAATATTAAAAAAAAAAAAAAAAAAAAAAAGGTAAAAACATACGAATATAGTTATACCTAAATATATATATATATATATATATATATAGGTATATTCAGTGATAATGCATTAGCTGACGGGATTTGTTAGCGACAATCAATGAAACTTACTCGATATGATACTTTATAGAGAATAATATTTCAACGCTATTTAACATTTATAATTATTAAAGTAATTTTACCATCGTAACCCAGAGCGTCATATCAATTGTCATTTATAAAATGAAAAATAAATTAGTATTGCACAATTAATTATAAAAGCATTAGATTCATAATAAATCGTGAAAGCGCACGATTATTAATGGCAACAATGACCGCCGTAACATTATCAATGTTATTTTCATTATTGCTCGGTGATCGGCATTATTGCTATACAATCAAACTCAAAATAAGCAGGAGCTGGAAAACAAAAAGCAAAAATCACGAACGAAGCTAGTCGATTGACCTCGGTAGTTCTTTGCGCATGTGCATGACGCATGTGTGGTGGAAAGCAAAAGGGAGTCCGAAACATGGCGCCGAAGTGAAGGACGCCGTCTCGGTCCCATTTAAAACCTGGATATCTCGAACGTATCGTTTGTTGCACCCGCTGTGTGTTTCACCGAAGCCGCAGCTCGATCTAAACCATGAGCAACATATCGCCCTTCGGGGGTGGCAAAAATCCCCCCTGGGTACGCAATGCAGGTGAGAGTCGCAACAAATTGACACGAAGCAATTATAAAAATAATAATATAATAACGAAATGGTGAGGAGGGCGGAGAAGAAAATAAGCGATCGAAGCGTGTGCCGTGTGGATGATGAAAGCATAAGGCATGACACTAGCGCACTGCCAATTGCCAAATAACTCGACCAAACTGTCTCTCATTCCCGACTGACGCGCGTATGTGCCAGTGTGTATGAACGTCACGGTTTTGCGGGAGAGGCGGTTGGGGCTATTTAGAACGGGAAAGGGTGTATTTTCAATGGCCTCGATGTACTTCTTTTCGGCGATGTATGCGAGTTTTAAGCCAGTCAACAAGATGAGGCCAAAACGTGCATGTAGTTTTGTTTTAACATACGTGTGCATAGGCGCTGAGGCAGAGTGTGAGAAAAATTGCTCCACTGCGTTTTATTGATAATGAAAGCGCTGTCGGTTGTATGTAAATAGATTTGGTATTAGTATTAAATTTATGCCTTTTTATTGGATGGTTCGCAAATTTATTTCAATAAACTACGAAATGCCACTATAAATTTTGCTGATCGTTGCTTTCTATTGTTGAGCGAATATGTATTTTAGTAAGTATTTAGTTTGCACATACGTGCTAAATTGAAGCGTTCCAATTATTTTTAGCAAAGAGGTTTATTGGTAAAGAGAAGAATTGAAATGCAAACCTAAGAGGACGTTGAAGTTTAATGATTATCATTCTTAAATTTACATTTAATTTAAAAAATTATATCTTTTAAACGCTATAAAGATAAGTTCAATTATTGATGATGTAAAATTTTTTATGTTAAATACAAATTAAAACAATTTAAACATGGATAAATATTATTATTAATGTAAAATATTTATAAATATATATATATACATAGTTTTCTTTTTGTAATTACTTCCTCTATACTCAATAAATTTTTAATGAAAAATATGCAAACTAATACAATAAGGTGATCAAATTTTTTTTTTTTCAAAGGTCAAGGAATTCAGAATATCCAGCAGCAAATGCTTGGTCAAGCTATGAGTGGTATGGGTGGACAACCAATGGTTCAATATCAACAGCCAAACCAACAAGTTTACCAACAGAGTTTAGGATTGCAACAAGTTAGTTTATTTTATAAATTTAATCAAGAAACTGCAAGGAACTCGTTAGTTTTAACCGTATAATATTTATTATCGTTATAGCCAAATATAACAATGGCATCCATGGCAACGTTGGGCTCTAATTTACCATCTGGTATAGCTGGACAGCTTTATCCTCAAGTTGCTACAGTATCGTATCCAACTCCACGAGCGTTAAATACGAATACCTTCACACAATCCGTAGCTGGAGTTGCTCAGCAAGTTCAGCAAAATGTGCCTCCTTCGTCAACTAAACAGAGAGTATTTACGGGTACAGTTACCAAAGTTCATGATAATTTTGGATTTGTAGATGAAGATGTGTTTTTTCAAACTAGGTAATGAATCTTTACTAAACGGATTGCAGATATATGATATAAAGTAACAATGTAAAATAATTCCTAATTTATTATATCTGTTACATCAAATTATAATTCATTTTTCAGTGCTTGTGTCAAGGGATCGAATCCGGCTGTAGGTGATCGTGTACTGGTAGAAGCATCGTATAATCCTTCAATGCCTTTTAAATGGAATGCAACAAGAATACAAGTACTTCCTATGGGAAACAGTAATACAAATGCAAATACACAGCAGACTAATCAAAGCAATCGACAAAATCAACCAACTCGGACATCTGGAAGTTATAATGCTGTTCCACCTCCTAATGACAATGCAAATAATAGGTATTATAAATATAAATATAAAATTTACTAGGCTGATCATTATCAAAATAATTCTAATGGCATTGTGCATTATGCAAACTTTTTAAATAGGTTTAATACAAGTAATACAAATACATCGTCTGTTGCAAATCGCAATAAAGTTGGAAGAGTTAGAGAAAGGTCTCCTCGAGATCGAAGAAACGATGACGAAGAAATTGAAAGAAAAAGACGTCGAGAAGAGAGAATCAGAGAAAGAGAAAAGAAAGAAGAGCGCAGCCCATCCAGAACAAGAAGAAGTAAATCACCAAGACCTCGTAGAAGAACAAGGGTGGTTCCACGATATATGGTACAAATACCAAAGATAGCTCTTGATTTGTAAGTATTTTAGCCGCAGTGTAATTTTATAATTTTCAATTTACTGATGATTTACATTTATAATAATACACAGACCAGAAGCAGATGTTCTGGAAATCAAAAGACGTTACCAAAATATGTACATTCCCAGTGACTTTTTTTCTACAAACTTCAGATGGGTGGATGCTTTTCCACCCCACATGCCATTTACTCTGAATAAACCTTGTTCCTTTCATGTTATGCATAAAGACGTTGACTCTTATGTTGAGAATACAGCCATATTAGAACCACCCGATGCGGATTATTTATTTTCAGCGAAGGTAAATAGTTTTTTTTCCTTTTTTTTTTTTTAATTAATCAATATTTTAAATAATAATCAAAAGCAACAAATTTTATGAAATTCGAGGTTTCAAAATAAAGAATATTTGAGTACCGATAGTTTGGGAGAGGACAACTATATAATTTATATATTCGAATATCATTTCAAAATGAAAATGAAAATGAACTATTTTAATTATTTTATTCAATAGTATAAACATTCTTATTAAAAGTGTGTTACAACTTTTTTTGTTTTGTTTTAGCCAAAATTTGTTTCACAATTATAAAATATTATATAATGAATCATATTTACATCAACAGAACTTTAATCTTAAATTATTATTATTATTATTATTATTATTATTATTATTATTATTATTATTGAAAATCTTTTCATACTTGTAACTGTATTTTATTAAATAGTTTAAACTTTAAATTAAATAAAAATTTTAGGTTATGCTAATATCAATGCCTGCTATGGATGAAATTTACAAGCGTTGCTGTGGTGTCACCGAGGATCGGGATAACGATCGGGATTATATTCACCCGACGCGGCTAATTAATTTTTTAGTCGGCTTACGCGGCAAAAATGAAACAATGGCAATTGGAGGTCCCTGGAGTCCTTCACTCGATGGTCCAAATCCGGAAAAAGATCCATCGGTTCTTATTAAAACTGCTATTAGGACATGTAAAGCATTAACAGGAATTGATCTCTCCAACTGCATTCAATGGTATGAATTCAAAAGTACTTGCTAATCTTAATTTTTTAATCGCTAATTAATTACCTGACAACGCGATTAAAATATTCCTTACTGTAAATAATTAACTGTACTTAATTTTATTATTCCTCAAAAGATTTAGAACTATTGAAATAATACAAAATTAATCTGAAAGTATTTATGTGGTTATTTGACAATTAATACATAGTTATCCGTGATTAAAGGATTTTATTGAAAATAATATAATATTATTTATAATTTTTTTGTTCAAATACAACAATTTAATGAAATTATTCTGAGCAAAGAAATTGGTAAATTACTAAAATCAACGCTTAAAATGTTTAAATAACAAAATATCATATTTAAATAACGACTACCTTTAAATTTTATATTTTTGTATTTATATATAACCATGTATACTGCATTAGTTGTCATTTATAAATAAAATTTATTTAAAATATTGTCTTTATTTAAATTTCAGTTTTTTATTATGAATTGTAAATGGAAATTAATCTCGTGCAAAGATAATAATGAAAAAGTATATAAAATTAATAAGGATTCTGCTAATAATTCTGTAAGACTTCTAATTTAAAGATTAGTTTAATACTTTTAATTTTGGATATTCAATTGTAATTATATATTTTCAAATCAATTAGCTGTAGACGTTAAGGGAACGTAGACTTGCCTGATAAAATTAAATACACTTAAAGGCATTTCAGAATTTTTCTTTATCAGAAGATAATCTCCCATTGAATTTTTGGAATGTTTGGAATAATGGAAATCAGTCCTATCGTATAAGGAATTTTGATCTTATTAATTTACCGGTTTTAGCAAAATACCGATTCAATGTTTGTACATAAAATTGAATTGACTTAATATTTAAAATACACAAGTTATTTTCAATTACGTAATTTAATCAACGGATAGATTGCACATCTGTGTATATTTATCTATGCACATGTGCATATGTATGTATGCAAGTATCTCTGTGTGTGCGTGCGAGTGTGCGTGTGTTGGTGTGTGTGTATATATGCATATATATATATATATATGCGCATTGAAAGTGCATCCAATGAAATGTGGAATACCATGATGGCGAGTTCTGACTCGCTCAACTCAAAAAGAACAGCATAGGTTGGAGATAAATCGATCGAAGGTACAAATATGATGCGTACCTTGGCTCTGAACAACCAACGGAGAAAGCAACATGGATGCGTCATGATCATAAAGAACCAGACATTACCTGGGTTTTCATTTATTCTTTCACATTATTTTTTGTTACCCATACACAAACAGAACTATGTTTATTCATATTATAATGATAATTATTTTTTGTTACGTTGCCGGTTTCTGTATGTATGCGCGCGTGGGTGTATGTTGCACAGGGCAGGTGGACCATTTGTCTCACATTTATGTGTTGTCAAACAATATTTAAGAGAACCGTTGTGTTTGTCTCATCGCCGAGCAAAGTAAATGAGAGAAAAAGGATGCGTGTGTGTGAGAGCGGTAGGAGCGGACGTTTTTGCGCATATGTAAAATGAAACGGAAATAAAGAAAGAGCGCAACAAAGAGCGTAACGGGAAAAATAAAGAAAAAAAGAAAAAGATACGAAAGCAAGCGCACAGGCAGGCAATAACCTCCAAGAGTTGACGTTTGGGTATTGTTTTTTTTTCCTTGCGGCGCAGGTACCGCTTCCTGGAGCTCTACTACAGGCGCGCAGAGACGACCCACAAGTCCGGCCGTGTGGTACCCTCTCGCGTTGAAACCGTCATACTATTTCTCCCAGATGTTTGGCGCTGCGTACCGACCAAACTGGAATGGGACGGTCTCCACATCAGCTACAAAAAGCAACTGGAGCGTAAGCTGCTACGTGCAGCCGCCGTCGAGGTTGATCCGGACGTTGCTGCCAATGAGAACGTCGATGAGGGTGCAGCCGCTGTCGGCGCCGCATTAATTATAACATCAAGAATAATAGAAATAATCAAGAGGTAAAAAAGGTAATAATGCATATATCTATAAATATATATGTATATATATATATATATATATATATATATATATATATATATATGCATATACATACATATACATACACATGTACATATACACATAGGCACACATGTATATATGTGTTTTTATATATATATATATATATATATATATATATGTATGTATGTATGCATATGCGTGTGTGTGTATATATATGCATATATACATATATATATATATATATATATATATATATATATATATATATACATATATATTTATAGATATATGCATTATTACCTTTTTTACCTCTTGATTATTTCTATTATTCTTGATGTTATAATTAATCGTGCAGCTGTTTCCTATTACTAAACTGATTTTTTTTTCATTTGGCGATATATGCTAATTCATCAATATCAAATAAGAGTTATACAGTACAAAAGTGATTTTAGAAATTTAGTTGCCACTTACGATGCATGTGCAACAATTCGTTTTATTATATTTCATAAAGCAGTTGTTGATTTTTCAATTACCTTAGTTTAATACTCTTGGGTCATATGATTTTTAACGTAACTTATCCGAACGATGTATGAAAAAATGAATTTACAATTACATTTTCTTGTACTTCTATTAAACTTACCTGCAAATATCGCTGCCTCTTGCCACCGCAATGAAATTATAATTTAATGGCGCGCGAATATACAGTTTTACACCGCACTGTATAACAATTCCTCAAATACTGACTGTATTACTCTATTGTATTATTGAATAATCAGTTTTAACAGTTCTTGAAACTAATCTTGAAACTCGGATGTGGTTGATTAATAAGCATATATAGCAATTATGAGCCACTGGCTATCTCATTGCATTCAATGAGCAAAGCGAACAAGCCTAGCTCGAGGAAGTATGCAGCCGAATCATTTTCCTTTCCACAAAAAAAAAAAAAAGAAAGAAACTCCACCATCAGTTGAGAAAATTATCTCAAAACTTTCATTTAATCTTCATTTTATATACTATTATTACTACTTACATTAGTATTTATGAAGTTTTATCCATTATACCCATGAACCACACCGACACCAGAGCCAGGACACTAAGAGAGTCTAGCAGTTTCTTGTATCGTGTTAAAAGGGCATCGTGACTGAAGATATTAATCGATGTTATAATAACCTAGTTATTATAGATAGTTAGTGCGAATCTGAATAAATGACGAATGGAATGCCAGGATGTGTGTACGATGATGATAAGGGTGTAGTTACGACTGGCTATAAGGGCTGCTTCAGTTTTGTAGAATCTTAATAATAGCTGTGCTTGCACTTGTTATAAAGATTCTTTTCTCATTTCAGGATGATGCAATACCAGAGAAAAAGGACCCGACACATTATTCTGAGCTGGATCCAAAATATATGAACGTAAGTGCAAAGAAGATTTATTTTTGTAGGAATATCCGACGAATAAGCGCATCAGAACCTCTAGATATTTAAACGAAAAGACTATTTTCTTCTAACTTTCAGTGAAGTTTTGCAGTGAAATCTTCATTAAATTCATCTAAAAAACTAACATTATTTTTACAAGTTAGTTTGCAAACTTCTTATGTTTTCTCTATAATAATGACCAAGAATCATGCATTCCTCAAAGATTATTTACAACTTTTACTTTTAATTATTTTTAACTTTATTATGTAATTATTTATATTAAGCAAAAAAAAAAAAATTATTTTAAAATAAATACTTGTTACTAAATATAATATATAAATTTAAGTATGTATTTTCCTACGTCACCTATACATGGAATATTTATCTCTTAGTTATATTTATATATGTTCAATCTTTTTTTAGGTTAATAATTTACGCCAAGAGCTAGTCGCGCGCAATCTGAATGCTAAAGGCTTGAGGTCGCAGCTTCAAGCAAGGATTACCAAGGCAATAAAATTAGAGCAGGCCAAAGAGGAAGGTAGACAAGATGAAATTGATGAGAATGATAAAGAAAGTATGCCATCACCCAAAGATGAGCAGAAAGATGATAAGCGTCCTAAAGATAAAGAGGTATATTTTAATTATAAAATGAATAATAGCACAAATAAAATAAACATACCATTATTACAGCACGATGAGGATAAAAAGAAAGTATACGAGAGAGAGAAATCTCTTTTGGAAAAAAGGTATAATTTACCAGAAGCCTCGCACATTACAGTTCATCCTTCTAGAACTGCTAAAAGTGGTAAATTCGATTGTACAGTGATGTCTCTCAGCGTCTTGTTAGATTATAGGCCAGAGGATACGAAGGTAATGCAGATAAGCTTTAGATAAGTTTTAGAATAAAGAATCTAATTACATTGTCTCGGTCAATTGATTAAAAATAATTCAGAGAAATAATTATATTAACTTGAATGCCGACGTTTCGATTTTAGGAACATTCGTTTGAGGTGTCGCTGTTTGCCGAGCTTTTCAACGAAATGCTAATGCGCGATTTTGGTTTTCGAATATATCGTGCTTTATGCAGTTTACCTGAAAAACCAAAGGATAAAGAGGAAGATAAGAAAAAAGATAAAAAAGATGATAAGAAAAAAGATGATGATCGAAAAATGAAAAACGATAAGAGAGACGAAAAGAAAAATGACGGTGGAAAAGACAAGAAAGACGATAAGGATATCAAGAGTAAAAATGACGATAAAGATAAGAATGAAGATTATGATGATGAGGATGACGATGATAGCGATGTTAGTTTATTGATTTATTATTACTATTATTATTATTATTATTATTATTATTATTATTATTATGTTGTATTTAAGTTTTGAAATGGAAAATTGTAAAACGCACGTTTTCAGGATGATGATTCATCGAAAGAAGGAAAAAGAGATAAAGATAAAGATGGAAAGAAGAAGAAAATTAAGTTATATACATTTGATCCATATCTCCTGTTATCTTTCGTATATTTTGATCAAACCCATTGTGGTTATATTTTTGATAAAGATATTGAAGAGTTAATTTACACATTAGGATTGAATTTGTCACGAGCACAAGTTCGCAAACTTGTGCAGAAAGTCGTCACAAGGGACTCTTTGCACTATCGCAAGTTAACTGACAAAACTAAAGAAGATGAAATTAAAGATTCCAAGAAAGAAGATAGCGAGAAAGCGGATGGACTTCCTGTTAAAACAGAAGGCGAAGATGATATTATAAGATCTCTTGCCCTAGGTAAGTTATTTGAAAATTTATATGAAAAACAAAATATATTTTTCATCTTATAAAAACAATTTTTTAATTGCATTGCTTTCAAAATATTGAACGAATTGAGATTTATAAATTAAATTTATCGTGCTTATTACTTCTCTATGAGTATGCATATTTATTTAATTAAATAAGCATTTAAATAATATTAATTTGATATATAATAAACCCATTTTAATTAAGCGATTAAAAAATTCAAATCCTATTCTAATTATGAATCGATCCATTTAAAGCTTAAACAATCGAATTTGCCATTGAAATTCTTGTGCAATTATTATTCATTAGGGAATAAAAAGCTACTACCAGTATTTGTTGGAAGCGGGCCTGCTTCTAAGAGAGCTCGGCGAGAAAATTCATTGACAGAACCAGAGGTCGAAGCAGTACCGCAAGGTTTTATAATGTTTAAAGGTTCTTTGTTAGACATAGATAAATTAGTTAGTCAATTAAAACGATCGGAGAATGCTCGTATGGATACTGAAATAAAAATGATTGAAATACAGCATGAATTAACCACAGTTAGTGAAAAGTCGACTAAGCAAAGCAATAATATTAAAGATCTTTCGGATGATTTAAAATTGTACAAAGATAGACTGAGAAACGCTGATGACAAATTAAAGAAAATAACGGTAAGTTTTATATAAAGTTATTGGAATTATTTATTAAACGTATAGTGATGTTGATCCTGTAATTCGAGGGCTGTCGCCAGTAATTATATTTATTTATTAATCGACACTAAGACATTGTTTATAAAAGTCGTCTCTAAGCGTTAATACTAAAAGGTAAATAAATTTAATTTAAAAAAAATATCTTTGTTTTAGACTGAATCACATTCGTATTTCACTTCTCTTAAAAGCATATATCATATAGCATCTAAAAATATACAAAATGACACGAAACGAGTAGAAATAGTTGAAATTCAAGATGAAAAGAGTGGCATAGAATTAAATGGTACACAAGTGGAGTGCAAGTCTAAAAGTGATACTAGATGGAGTGATAATAAAGTCATAGTAAAGAAAGAAATCACAGAGTGCGAAAAAGACAAAAAGTGTGACAATAAAGTTCTTATAAAAAAAGAACCGACGGAAGAAGATAAAGATAAAAAATAAAATCAACGCCCCTATAAAAATTGATATTTATTCGTTTATACTTTACAGAAGTGCACCAAACATTAACAACGTCATAAATGTACTGTTTTTTAAACAATTTTGGATATGCGTTTCGTAACGAAAGTAACAAGAACATCTTTATTTTATTCAATTGATAAACGATAATTATAAAATTAAATATATTTTTTCTCTGCATATATTTTTGTTTAAAAATCAAAAAAAAAAAACAAATGAATGAAAGTGAAAAGCTTGCGTGTATAGACGAATTGTATTAGTAAAAAATAATTGTATTACTGTCTATAATAGTGCATTGTAAAATTATATTCTTTTGCATTTTTTTAGAAAAAATTGGTTCAAATAATGTTCATTAAAAAAAAAAAAAAAAAAAAAAAAATTTATTAAAAAAAAAAAAAAAAAAAAAAAAAAATTCTAATAATAATAGTAATAATAATAATAATAATTAAAAAAAAAAAAATAATAAAACTAAATTGGTTTTTATATCAATTTTAAAAAGAATCTTCATAAAATATTTCTAAATATATTATACGCATTAAAAGAATTGAATCTCTTTTTTGATTAGCATCAATGCTTTTGAATATTAAGTATTTGACAACAATAACAAACGCAGATTTCACTTTTGAAATTTCTTAACTTTCATTATTAAAAATCGTCAAATTGAATTTTTAATTAAAAATAAATATGTATTTAATTTTATACATTAAGTGACAGTGGATTGTCTAGACATTCTTCAGTCAATGATATTACATAATTGTAAAACTTGCTGTAGTGTTACATAATTTGATAAAAATATTTGTAAATTTTCAATGACAATTTAACTATTGTATTAATACTTAAAATAGGCATTAAAACCACGTGTTCCACTGCCTAATAAAATAGTGTGTCACTTGAAAGTTAAAATACATTTTCACTAAAAAATGAAATAAACGAAACTTGCATTTTTTTCTAAATATCAATTTAGACTAATTTAATATATATACACACACTTATTTATTTTATTTATTTATGTATTCATTCATCCATTCATTTAAATTATTCTTAAAAATATATTAAAAAGAAAAAGAAAACAAAAAAAAAATTATACAAATATAAGGAGAAAAATATACACAAATATTTGGTTACCAGCAAATATATTTTATTTACTGTTCTTTGCAGTTTAATTTCAAGACGATGCCAAAATTGCATTACCATCACAATTGCGACATTTTCCAATCCAAGTTTAATAGAACAATTGTTTTCATTAATGAGTAGTTTAGAGGACAATAAACTTTCAAATTTACGTTTCAATATTGTAAATTATTTAAATATTTATTCTATAAATTTATACTGCTGAATATACAGTATTATTTTGCATAATAGATGAATGATGCAATATTATTACAATTTTAATTTCCATTAAAAATGATTCCTTCGACTCTAAATTTTCTCTATACAAATATATTGTAATATAACGGTCGAATTCTTTTGATAATATGAATTATATTATCATGAATAGCTCAGACTGCAATAAATTATTATATTGCAAAACAGTATATATTTTGTATAATTTATTATTTTTTTTATAATTTTGAATGAAACGTAGAATTCTCACACGGATAATCAAAGAAATCAACACATCATTAATATCATATAATTTGCTTTAATTAATCACGAACAAAATAATAGTAACTCGACATTTTACTTTTTCCTTTCATCGTCATCAAAATTTAAAGTCAGATGTAAGATGCAACTTTAATCTAAGTGAAATTCAACGTTAGATGATATTTTACATTTAGCTAGTCCCGATAAAACTGCTTCTAACATTTTTATAATATATATATATATATATATATATATATCTGCGTACAAAATTCATCTTCAACAAACCAGTTCTTTCACTTCAAGAGTGATGATTGCTATCAAACACAATTTAAAGCAAAAAAATTCGGTTACTATATTTTATTGCACAAAAATACATTTCGATATTAGATTATCGGGAAACGAAAATATTATTAGACGAGTTAAATTACAAAAGCTTTTGATTGATTAATTAATGACTTTTGACGCTGTCGTCGTCGTTACATCAATTACAATTTCAATAAGTACATAAGTTTTGTATTA